AAGGGTTTTTGCTGAACTGGAGGTGTCATATTGTGAATGCGGGGCAGATTGATCGCTTGCTTAGACGAGCCGAGGTTGATATCATGACGGCATGCAAACAGTTACTGGCAGACAAAATAAGGCAGCTGGAGGTTGAGTTTGACCTCCTATCAGAGCGAGTAGATAGTAATGGCACAGATGCTGATAAGGAGAGGGCGCGTCTTTGGATAGAGAGGGATAGGGCAGCTACAAAGAGACAGATGGCGAAAACGAAGGAGAGTAAGCTCAGTCGCCTCAGGGCAGCGTCAGACAGGCAAACGAGAGGTAAGACAGTCGAGAGGGATATAGGATCCTCCCAGATGAGAGATCATAGGGAGAAGGGGGAGGTGAGTATGAATAGGGGACCCGCCCAGATGAGGGATGAGAGGGAGGAGGAGGAGACGGGTACGAACAGGGGACCCACCCAGATGAGGGATCAGAGGGAGGAGGGGGAGGCGAACAGGAACAGGGGACACGCCCAGATTAGGGAGCAGAGGGGCGAGCGGGAGGCTAGACAGGGAGAGAGGACTCAGGAGGGAGAGAGACGTGATGATGTTCCAATTGGTGTGGACAGCTCGAGGGGACCTAACAACCGTGATAGACCACCTTCTGATGAGAGTATGAGGGACCGCATCGGGGTGGTTAATCTGTCTGATAGACATCTCACAGATGCAGAGCTGTCTCTTCTGGGTAAAGGGCTTTCTTTTGTGCCGACCAAACGCCAGACAGTAGCACAGCTAGTGTCTGAGTTGAAGGAGTGGGAGCGCCTGATGAGGCTCAGAGAATACTGGGACGGGGAGATAGGAGAACGGCAGAGTGGGCAGGCTGATATAGACGCGCGTTATAAAGAGTCAAGGTGGACACCACCGAAAGGGAGGGACCAGTGGCTAGACTTATACATTGAGGAAGTATCCACTGGTATCGTGAGAGGACTGAAAAAGAAAGGTAGGTCAAATCTCACTCAGGCCGAGAACGATGCTCTGCTCTCTCTGGTGAACGATGAGTCCATTGTTATAAGGCCAGCTGACAAGGGATCGTCCTTTGTGGTGATGAATACTAGCGACTACATCTCGAAGCTGGCGGGTGAAATTGAGGAGGGAGATGGATATGACAGGACCAACGGTGACATAACCCCTTCAGTAACGAAAAAGGTTACCAAACTCGCTGCTAAGATGGAGGGAAAAGGGTACATTGGCAAACATCAAAAGAAATACTTAATACCTCCAAGACCCACTCCGGGGGCCCTACAGGGTAACCCCAAGATTCATAAGGGTGGGGCCCCGATGAGAGCAGTAGTAAGCGGGAGGGGACATGCCACGGAAAGGATGGCAGAGATGGCAGAGAGCCATCTCACAGAGCACGTGGAGGCCCAAGCATCATACATCAGGGATACTACAGATTTCCTTGCAAAATTACGGGACCTAGGGCAGCCGGTAACAGGAAGGGGTGGAGGCAAACCACTACTTTTTTGTATGGACGTAGCGAAGTTATACCCCAGCGTCCCGAGAGATGAGGGAGTAGCCGCGTGCCGAGAGGCTTTAGACCAGAGGAAAACAGCTAAAATTCCCACGGAAGAGCTCCTTGAAGTCATACAGTTAGTTTTAGATAATAACAATTTCCAGCTGGGAGGGGATAACAACTATATTCAGACCGAAGGAACGGCTATCGGCTCAAAATTGGGAAGGAACTTTGCATGTACCTATATGGGTGCATGGGAGAAAACTCTACTGGAAAGGGCGTCCAACCAGCCAGACCGGTGGTACCGTTTCATCGATGACATATGGGGAATCTGGACCCACGGGGAAGAATCACTAAAATCCTTTCATCACCTAGCGAACCAAATTCATCCAAATATACAAGTAGACTTACGATTTTCGGATACAAAAATAGAGTTTCTAGATGTGGAGGTATTACTGAGCGAACTGGGCTATATCACAACAAATTTGCATATCAAGCCGACCGATGCTCAGGCATACCTCCACTACACCTCAGACCACCCACCATGCGTCAAGAGGGCTATCCCCAGGGGACTGGGAGTGAGATTGAAACGGATCTGCTCAGATGAGAAAGATTACAGGTATCACAGGGACCGACTGGCAAACAGGCTGAAGGAGAGAGGGTACCCTGGGAATGAGGTCAATTCCGAGCTAGCGAGGGTGGACCAGATTGATAGGGGTGGTTTACTTGTCAGCAGGGATAGCAAACAGAAGAGTACGGACAGGGTTCCAATGGTGATAACCTTTAGCAGCTTCCTCCCAGACGTAAGAGCTATCATGAAAAAGAACAGGCATATCTTGAGGAAATCTGACAGGTTAAAAAGTATTTTCAAGAGAGATTCAATGGTAGCTTACAAGAGGGGAAGCAACCTAAAGGATCTACTAGTGCATAAGAAAACGAGGAGGGCACTTGCAACCCGGGGAAGGCAGGACTGTGGAGGCGATTGCGTTATCTGCAAAGCCTTCTACGAAGGAGAATCTGTCCCTGGAGCACAGGGACCTGTGCACTACGATAGAACTATTGGTTGCAAAACTTCAAATTTAGTGTATGGGATCTGGTGTGAAAAGTGCAAGAAGGTGGTTTATGTAGGACAGACGGGAGACACTATATACAGGAGGGTTCAGAACCATCTCTCATCAATTAGGTGCAACAGAGTTGGGAGAATCCCGGTTAACAGGCACTTTACAGTGGAAGGGCACACAGAGGGAGACTTCAAAGTCGTTGGACTAGAGAGAACCTGGGGTAACTCAGAGGACCGTAGAAAATTTAGAGAGATGAGATGGGTGGGGTTACTGGGAACACAGAGGGACAGTGAGGGAGAGAATGTAAGAAGGGAGGGTTAGGTATACTCTAACCGGCTGCCCGGTGCAGGTACGTTTTGGTCCGACGTCGCAGTCTTCCATGGGTGCCTGTGGGGACGTGTCTAAGTTTGGCGCGTCCCCGCAGTCACCCATCTTAGGTTGCACCGTTGGGTGCGTGGGGCCTTGCAATGTACGGCCGGCTTTAGAGGACAGTGATTGACGTCTTACCTCTCGAAGATGCCTCTAATTTGTGCCGCTACTAGATAGTACGTAGAGGGCCTGTTGTAGCCCGCTCCAGCACCGTTTTCGCCAAATGTTTACTCTGTGGCTAAAGAATATAGTCGGATCGCAAAGGCAGTTTATCGCATTATTCCGTTTCGAAACAGTTCGCTATAGTACTTAGAAACGTCAGATCGAGGGCTCTTGTCAGGTATTCTGGTGCCTGCCTGACAAGTAGGCTGTGCCGCAGAGCACGGGTGTACTGCGGGCTGCCTGATGACTGTGTTGTTTGCGCCCAATGCCTGTACTGACGATGGTACAGCATTTTAATCATAAATCCTTAGTGGCTGCCTGATAAGTAGGCAGTGCCGCAGAGCACGGGTGTACTGCGGGCTGTCTGTCGACTGTGTGATTTGCGCCCGTTGACTGTACCGACGATGGTGCGGTAAATTAATGATATATCCACCGTATTTTATTGCGGATGCATAGGGCTAGGTGGGGTAGTTTGCACCTGGTGGATACAGCCGAAATTGAATTTCCAGGAAACCGGAGGACCATGCTTGTTTCTGCTCGTTGTGTGTAGATGTGTATTTTGCGATTCGCCTTGTTTTGTCTTTGCTGCGCCAGAAGCAGATATGGCTTGCCAGAATTAACTTCTGAGGCAGACTTTAGCAATAAAAAGTCGAAACGTCACTTATTAGTTTGTTCGCTATATTTAATCTGGCATAAGTTTGTTGCATATATATATATATATATATATATATATATATATATATATATATATATATATATATATATATAAGTTAGCAAGTTCAAAACCTCCTAAAATCCCAGTTAAAGACCATAAATTCAAATTAAATAGAAACTATATCGTCAAAACCATATAACAAACTTCAGCAGCATTACCTACCAACAAATCGAAACGGCAGATCCTGAAGCACAATCAAAACTTTATCCTCACAGCACCACACTTATGCAACAGTTAAGGGCAGCGGGCAGCGGCAAGGCCGGCAGTTGGCCGGCAGCGGTATCCAATTCAGCAATTCGGCCAAATCAGAAAAAGTTATTACCATTCACTGCACCAGCAGCCGCAACAGCACCACCCCAAGCGCCACTAGCGCCGCCATAACACTTTTCCGTTTGCTCTGCTCAAGCTCACACCCTAAAATGGACGTCATAATATGCCGTCATCCAACTGTAGCCAGCAAATAAGTCCATGTTAGTTATTTTATCCTGAGGAATTTATGGAAAAAATAGGCATACTTTATTATAATCCCCCGCAAACATGATGTGCAAATAAAAAATGCAATATAAGAAGCCCTGATGAATAACGGCATCTCGTATTTGGCTTCTACAGCGACATCTATATACATAAACAATCTGTGCTTGGCGTCATCTATAGTGAAATGAGCTCTTGTGCTGTGGTGACCAATCTGCATCAACAGCTTTTGAGGCCTTTTGAGGCCTGGTATATAGGGCCTTGTTTTGAGGTATCCGATTGATGCGCCGTTTTGGCTGATTTCATAGCTGCTGAATTGATAGGCGGGATTCCGTATCGGTGCGTGTCAAGCTGGAGATACTTGGGCCTGTTCCATTGGCTCCTCTAACCTCCTCAAAGCTCCTCAAAGCTCACAGTTACTCCTCGGCATTGACCTCTATTAGTACCACACCCTAAGTATTAGTAGGTATTATAGAGGTCAATGCTCCTCGGTAACTGTGTTACCGTTATCTGACTCTTATCGATCAAACGAACGATGCGGTTCAGGTTCTTAGCTGCGGTTGCAGGCTTCAGACTGCCTCGCCCTCGGTGGGTACTAATGTACTATCTACTTAGCACAGCTCTTATTGATCAATTTTCGAAGGTTAGCATAACATAGTTGAGGTGAATGTTCGCACAGCATGCGTAGCTATCGTGACCTTATGTGAATTTAGCACAACTTGTATATTTTTCGTATCAGTATGCCTGAATAGTGAATCGCAACCGAATCTCGGCTGAGGTCTCTTGTTTTGGTAATCATGTGTTTCTTGTCCAACAATATGTCTAACTACCAGCCTTGCAACAACCTCAAAATGTGTTTCTGCAACGCATTTTTTAACGTTTGTAACATTTTACTAGCTGTCTCTTTTTCATGTTGTTATGTCGTACTTGCGCTATAAATGCATCAAGTTGCCCATCAAAATTATTATGTTCTTTTCCTGTAACCAGTTCTTGTGGCATCCGAACCGAATCCAAACGAACAAATCAAAGCGTGAAGAGTCCACTCGCGTTTAGTATGGCCTTGTTTAGTGCTGGCGAAAAATTGAGCACTGTGGCCTGTGCAATTAATCGTCAAGGTGAACTTTTGATGCTTATAGCGGACGCCGGTGAAAACAGGGCGCCGGAGGGCATATTAGTCACGTGACATTTGTGACTTCTCCCCCTTCATGGGCCTTCTACATGCCAAACGTCACGTGTAAATTTCACGAACCTTGATCAAAGCGCCCCAGGCGCCCTGTTTTCACCGTCGTCCCTTATAGCAATGGCAGGGGTCACTTCGGTTGTACGTGACGCTTCTATGCATTTTTTTATCGAAATGATTATTTGATAAGAGGGAAAACAAATCGTTATAGGAGATTTAAGTTACAAGAAAATCAAGTAATACGGTATCGGTAAAGCTGGCGTCCGGTCACCGTCGTCGCCATCGTCGCTAACCGGTAAATTTGGGGCCTTACTTAGTTGGGGGGTATATAGGGCCTTGAGTTGGGGCAACTACGAGGCTCCGAATTAAAATTTGATCAGCCAATCAACGGCTGGAGTGGGCGGGTCAATGACCATATATGGTACCTAATAAAATCAGAAAACTTCATCTTTTCCATACATCAGTAGGTGGAACTATGGTCATGAGTACCCAAATATAGGAATGTTCCCATTTTTGGGAACGGAGTTCCCAAATATGGGAACGGGCGTTCCCATTTATGAGAACGGAAGGTAATTTTTTGGCCGTTCGCCCACTAAAACTCATTAGTGCATCACGTCTCAAAAAAGTGCACGCTAATTTAAGTATCTACTAAGGCTCTATAAAATTATCTTTAATCTGACCGTTGAACAAGGAAATTGACCGTCGAATGATATTTTTAATGATTTTTTGAAATGACGGAATGGTGAAAACATGGGTTATACTACATACATTTAACATGCAATTTTAAGGAAAATGAAGCGTTTTTTACATTTTGAGGTCAAGTATAATAATGTTCGCCTGGTTATGAAGTTTCATACTAGCGACACCAGATGCTGACATATGCAAGCGAACACGCGGACAGTCCCGAGGTAATATTGTTGACTTTTGGTGTCGAGGCGCACGACCGCGTGGAACGTCAGTATTCTTACCTCGTATTCTTACCTCGTTGGGTTCCTCTTTGCCTCGCTTGTCCGGATAGGAAGGGGTCAAGTTGGGTGGATGTAAGGAACCCTAAATGAAAGAGACGCGCCAGTCCAAATGGTGACAGACAAGAAATAATAACATTTAATAATGGACCGGAAATTGCGCCTCGCGAAACAAAGTCGTACAAGATAGACCTATATCATATAAGAAAAACAAGTTGTAAGACGATACCTACCTATACAGTCATCATTACCAAAACACAGTTCGCATTTTCATATAAGTTAATCTACATAATCGAACAGTTTGCTACGAATACATGTATCAAGAATGCGTTTTAGGCTATTAATATTAGTCGCGCATGCTGCCTCTGCAGGCAGCTCATTCCATATGCGAATACAGCGAACAGAAAAAAAGCGCTTGCGAGTGTCAGTTCTGGTGGCTGGGGGAAATATCTTACATCCGTGACCCCTGGTGCCGCTGCGATAGGGCCTCTGGAAAAGGTCATTAGGATTGATACAGGAGTGGTTATTTAGGATTTTCCAGTACTGGATCAGGTCGGCCCGCAGCAGTCTACCCTGTACCGAATAGAGGTCCAATGCAGCTAACCTTTCACCATAGTTAAGTCCAGTCATTCCATCAATGTGTCTCGTCCATCTCCGCTGAACCCGTTCAAGAAGTCGAAGGTCTTGTACATACCCAGTATTCCAAATGCAAGAACAGTACTCCATGATTGGTCGGATGTGGGTTGTGAGAAGGGACAGCATAAATTGAGGAGAGCGACACACTGTGGACTTAAGTAGGCTTTCAGCTAGGCCACCCGCCTTATGGGCTACATTTCGGATGTGGTCATGAAACTTCATGGTGACATCAACAAGGACGCCCAAGTCAGAGGCCTTGCTTGCTGGAGTTATCGGAGCACCATTCAGGATGTAGGATGGCTGGCTAATGTTGGGACAGGGTCCAGCAAAGCGTAGGACCACACATTTTTTGGCGTTCATGTGCAAACCCCACGATGTGGCAGTCCTCAGCAAAACGTCGATATCATGTTGAACGGAGTGGTACATAGGGGAGCCCGGTGCCGAGTCAAGTTTGTGCTCAAAGCTGCTGTATATTTTCAGATCATCTGCAAAGATTTTGTAGTCGCAATTAAGATCGGATGCAATGCTATTCACATAAATAAGGAAAAGGATCGGGCCCAGCACAGACCCCTGGGGCACACCACTGAGTACAGGTCTGGAACTGCTTGATTTGCCCTTGACACATACCCTCATGAACCTGCTTGTGAGGAATGAAATTATCCATTTCAAAAGATTTCCATTGATATTTAGGCTTATCAGTTTATCTATAAGCAATTCATGAACAACTACATCAAACGCTTTACTAAAATCGAAGAGAACAACATCCGTTACCGCACCCTCATCTGTCCGTCTTGACACGTCATCATAGACCAGTAGCAGTTGGTCCATTGTAGACCTTCCAGACCTGAACCCGAACTGGTGAGGACTGATAATCTCATTTGACTCCAGATAGGGAACAAGTGATTTACAAATTAAGCGCTCCATCAGTTTGCACGGCACAGAGGTAAGACTTATCGGTCGGTAGTTGAGAGGGTCAGACCGTACACCTTTCTTAAACAAGGGAACAACAAGAGACCTCTTCCAGCTATCTGGTAAGGTACCTTCTCGGAGGGATCTGTTGAAAATGGTCATCAAAGGTTGAGCCAACTGATCAGCACACTTCTTCAATAAGAGAGGGTGAATGTCATCAGGTCCCATGGCTGAGTTTCCATCAAGCTCAAGAAGACTTTTTAACACATCTTCACGGGAAATAGCAATGTGTTCAAGTGAGGATTCGTGAAATCGTTGGTGTGGGCTTGGTTCGGATGGGATAGAGCGGCTATACACGGATGAGAAAGACTCAGCAAAAATCTCAGCCATGCAGGAGGGATCATCACTCAGTTGGCCCGATGACAGCTGCAGCGGTCCAACCGAAGGACGGCCAACCTTCTTATGCCTAAGGTAGGAGTCAGTGATTTTAACGAACTACTGTTGTAAACTTAGTTTCAGTGGTTTAAAATTATTCAACTGTATTTTATCAGCCCGGAAAGACATATTTTATTTGGATGCTAGCTGTTTAGCGTTATTTTATAAGGAGCGTCATGAGCGTGGTTTTTGTCTTCCGTGTTTCTAAGCATGATCGTTTTGGGGGAATTTCTCTTATATAGGTCGCTCTGTGTGGCTTATTTATAATTTTTATGCTGATTTCGACCATTCCTCGTGCCCATCCTACCAGGCCTTTTGCCACTTACACTCATTAAGAAAGGAAAAAACTAGATTTTCATTGGGACTAGGTGTTTTGAGGGTGTAACATATTCAGCGTTCCCATTTTTGGATACTTCCTTGTGCTCGTCAACTATCGGTGATAAACAGACAGAGTGCTTGACATGTCTCCACCCGCGGCGCGGACGGTGGATATAGGTATGGAAGACCTTGTTGAACATCGCTGAGCGTTGTGAATTCCGTAATCCTGCAGAGGGGGGCGTGCCCGCTGCGAGATCGACGGGAATAAAAGCGCAGAAGACCGGGCGAAACATGCGACGGTCTTGCCGGAAAGGTCATCTGATGATTGTTGCGTTAACAATAATTTGCAGCGTTGGACGTGTTGCTTGTTAATGAAAAGAGCCCCCGAAAGGCGTCGGTGAAATCGTTCCCAATTTTGGGTACGCCGTTCCCATAATAAGGAACGCTTGCAGCGCCAGTGTACGAGAGCGTTCCCAAATTTGGGCTCGCGGCCCGGATGATGGACTGCTTTAGAAATAGGGGAACGATTTGAAACTACGATGGGCCTTACAATATCAAACTCTTTCCCAACAATATTGAGACAAATATCAGGCGGTTCACGATCGTTTTATATTTTTGGACGTCATTTAACGGTTCTTTTTCTTGTTTTAAATAATGCCTACATGGCGTTCCCATATTTGGGTTTATCGTTCCCAAACATGGGAACGAAAATGCGTTCCCGAAAATGGGTACGCTTGACCATAGTTCCGCCTACTGACATCCTAGCATTCAAATGAAAAAATAAGGCATTAATGCCATTATTTTTGGTATTTTCTTTATTTTTTCCAATTGTGGTTAAATCATGATTTTAAAATTAAATATCTTCATTAAGTTCATTTAGGTATTAGTAGAGCAGACGTCACACGAAGGTTTTCCGACCAAGGAGAGGCGCCATACACGGAGCCCGGAGGTGCTTCTTTCTAGGAAAACCTAAACAAACCTAACCTAACCTAACCTAACCTGACCTAACCTAACCTACAACCTATAAACCTACAACCTAAAAACCTACAACCTACAACCTACAAACCCACCCTACAACCTACAAACCTACAGCGCCTCTCCTCGGTTGGAAAACCTTCATGTGACGTCTGCTCTACTAATGCCTTCATTTATTGCAATGAAATTAACTCTTTTAACAATTTTCTTTCAAAATACCAATCCATTTATTGAATGGCCAGCTGATTGTGATGCCCGGAACCTGCAGAAAAGCTGTTTTGTGATTGGCGACTGGCGTTTTCGAGTGAATTCGCCAAATTTTATCAAATAGCGTTTATTTGTAGTGGGAAATGGAAGCCTTTTCTCTCTTATAAGGTGGACGCCATACCTACCATAAATACTGGCATGTTATGCCGTTTTTCACCCGTAGTAGCGAGGGCTGCATTTATACCCATATATGGTAATAAAAAGTCTATTTATTGACCGATCAATTTTTGGATCTTTGCCTCGTAGTTTCCCCAACTGATATTTTATCTTATAGGCTGTATTGCATACACATTCAACTTGCACATAACAAAATGGCATTCATTTATAAATTATAAATGTGGTGATGTGTGATATCACCATGTCATTATCAGTTACAGTGTAGATGTCTCACTTAGCACTGCAATTCGCATTGCTCCAAGATAGAGGCTCTTTAGCATACACCAATATGACCACTATTCACGGAACTGACTGAAATATAAAATGACATATGCCCTGCACTAAACAAAAATACCAAGCCAACTGAGATCAGCATTTCAACTGGCAATCGTGTTGCAGCTACCAATTCCAAATGGTTGCTGATCTCTACTCCTGCTCCTCTGCCAGCCGAAGCTGGATCCATTTGAGGTAGTGGCTGACGTCCGTGTAGATGCCAGGCAGGCTGGGCCGGGCGCAGCCGATGCCGGCCGACACCACGCCGACCAGCGTGTGGCGGCCGCCGGGCTCGGCCACCACCAGCGGGCCGCCGCTGTCGCCCTGGCACGCGTCCTTGCCGCCCTCGCTGAGGCCGGCGCAGATCTGGCCGGGCTTCAGCGTCAGCCGCTTGCCGGCGGCGGCGAACCAGGCGTTGCACGTGTCGCGCGTCTGGACGGGCACGTCGGCGCTCTGTAGGCGGTCGGCGCGTCGTCCGCCGTCGCGGTACTCTGCCAGCCAGCCCCAGCCGGCCACGGTGGCTGTGCGGCCGGTGGGCGGCGCGGCGCCGGCCGCCGGCAAACACGCCGGCTGCACGAACGGCCCCCAGATGGCCGGCGCGGCCAGCGTCAGCAGCGCCAGGTCGTTCCGGAAGCTCGGGTACTTGTACTGGTCGTGCACGGTGAGCGCGGCCACGGCCAGCTCCTGCTGCGCCGGCTCTGCCACGCGCAGGTCGTGCTCGCCGGCCACCACGCGGAAGTCTGCCGTCCGCCGGTTGTGGAAGCAGTGCGCGGCCGAGAGCACGTGGCGCTGGCCAATCAGCGTGCCGCCGCAGAAGTGCTGTCCGGCCAGCTGGATGGAGACGGTCCAGGGCAGCTGGCCGGCGTAGGCGCCGCTGCCGCCCACGATTCGGCCGCGGCCGGAGAGCACCTGCTGCTGGCCGCACTCTGTCACCGTCGTGTTGGAGTCGCTCTGGCCGCGCACGGTCACGGCGCAGGCGGCGAGCGTCAGTAGAGCGGCGGCACGCATGGTGGCAGATAGAGGACCGCGGCCTTCGGCGAGGAGCGCCAGGCTGAGCTGTTGCTCGGGGCAGTGTGGAGTCAGTGGCGCCGCCAGCTGCTTATGTACCCCGCGGCGCCGGCTCGGTGGGTCTCACGGTCACTGGGGCGGCGGTGCCCCGGCGGCGGCCGCCCGTATGCCAGCGCTCGGTCATCAGCACCCCTCCGCGTTAGCTGTGTGTCGACCGGTGCGGCCGGCGACCCTACCACCGCCGCCAGGGGACAAGGTCGGCTCTGTGGGACGCGCAGCGGCGGCTTCCGCCCGGCACCGGGCCCGGCGGGCCGCTGACCGGGACTTCCTCTTCCGACCCGGCCCGTTCCGGGTCACCGGCTGCCCGGCGCGCCATTCCCGGCCGTGTGCGGGACGTCAGCTTCGATCCCCAGCTCGTCGTCTAATGTTTATCGATAATGAAGACTTTGAGGCGTCTTTTTTTCAATAGCCACGAAAGCTGTTCATTTCCGTGCATTTTGCGCATGTTCTGCTGGTTCCTTTTTCACAATTTTGGCGCTGGGAGCCCAAATGAGCGATGCTTCCGGGTCTCGCTCCCGAACTTTGGCGAAGTTTCAATGCCGGGAGCAGATGAAGACTCTCTTTGCCCCTTCGCGATGTGCAAAGTGCACGTCCGTACACAGAACTTTTTTATCGACAGAAATTTGAGGTTTTGACCGGCACGGTGGATACCGGCCTGTAACCTTGTACCAACTTTAAGCGCAATCGGCCGAGCAGTTCTTTAAATGCATGGAAGCGTTCTCCGCTCGGGCTCACGTGCAAAGTGAGATCCCAGCCGTCTTGTGAATTTGTATTTCCCATTTAGCCGACATTTAACAACGTTACAATGTAAATCACAATCGGCGAAGCCGCTCTTGAACTGTGGAAATGGTGCGTGCACTTGTGCACGTACGAAGCGTGCACATTGCACAATGCACATTGCACATGGAATAAGCCCCAATGCATTTGTAAGTGCATCGCTGGGTGGGTGCGATGGCATAACTGTCTCAAAAGCGTTACTGGCCGGGCCTGCAGGCCCGGTCAGGTCAGGCGGGTCATGCATATTGCATAGTTGTTGATTATTCCGTAAGATGTATATGAGTTGCTTTGTATTTGTTATTAATTAGCTATTACCAGTAAAACGCCTTTTGGGCGAAGAACGAGCGAGCGAGATAGTGAGCCCTGCACGTGCGCAAGGGCGAGAGGGTACTTCCAACGGGCTTGTGCAAAGCACCCTTCTAACCGGTCGCTAGCGGTGTGCCAAATTTGAACGCAATCGGCCCAGCCGTTCCTGAGATCTGGAAGCGGCATTCTGCACGTGCGCACGTGCAAGCGGGGTCCAAACTGACTTTTGCACGGCACCCTACTAACTGGTCCCCAGCCGTGTACCAAATTTGAGCGCAATCGGCCCAGCCGTTCTCGAGATCTGGGAGCGCCCCCTGCACGTGCGCACGTGCTGTAGCACCCCAACCTTAACACATGCAGATGAATTATCTGATGGAGACCTAACTGTGTACCGAGTTTCAATTCAATCGGCCCAACCGTTGTGCCGTTATTGAGGTTGCAATTTTGGGGGTTCTTAAAAAATGTCCAACTTTACCACGCGCCACGTGCGGTGGTTGGCAAGAACGCATGGTGGCCATCACACCACAGAACTTTTACGTCCAAGTGACATTCAGTAAAGAAGACCGCTTGTCAATCGGATGTCCCGTTCCTAAGATATTAGCCTTTGAAGAGCGTCCCCACGGCCGGCCGGCCGGCCGGCCGCTCATACTCAGGATTTTCCCTTAATTCAGTATGAACTCGTAATTATACTATGTAGGTATTATTTTTTTCCTTTTGCTTTATGGCAGTCGGACCGCTGATTCCTAAGCCAATATGCTTGAAAGTGGAGACGCTATTTTTGTCCCTGTACTGTGCGTGTCCGATGTGCCGCCATTGGCACCGATTCCTTATCTAGATCAAGGTCCTTGCCTCCAGCCATTCCGCGTATCGTCTGCTTTTTGCCCGATGAACCATAGGAAGTAGCGTCAATTACGGACTCGAGCGTCACGCCTCGCTCTTCCGGACTGGTGCATTCCGAGACCGCTGTCCTTCCGCTCGCTGTTCCGGTTCGTGTTTCGTGTTCCCGGAAGTCCGCGGAAGTCGGTCTGCTGCCATGTGCGTGTTTGTGTTCACGGTTACCGGTGGTAATTAGCCACAGAGACGGCTGCGCTAACTACGGGTCGCACTGCGCGTGACCCTGGCGAGTCAACATGTGACGCCCTATAACGCTCTGTGACGCCCTGTGACGCTCTGTGACGGTGGATGCCGATGCGTCACCTGTGCGCTCAGTTATGACAACGGTCGGCTATGTGACACGTTTGGCGGGGGGGGGGGGGGATGACTGGTGAATACGCACAGTAGCTCCAGGAAGTTCCGCCTCCCATTAGACCCAGTGTGTTAGTTTTCTATTGACATTGAGGATTACACGCCCCTGGTCGTTCTTTTTGATTTACGAGCGTGCAATTATTCGAAATTTTGTTCTATAGGCGCTTTACAAGTTGAATTTGAAATTTACAGGTGACTATTTGTCGAGCACTATTATTTTAATAGCATCTTACTTATTAAATCATAATCTTGGCCCTCAACCAACATAAGAGGTAGATAAATAAGTGATCTCTAGCTGTAAATCTGTGGTTCTATTGGACCAATCAAGAAAACCCAGCGTAAATCGAAAATGCTTTGAATCCGTCCGGTTATTACAGCCTGCCGCCTCTGCTGACCTCTCCACCTCGCATCTGCTGCACTGACCGCGCCGTGTCGAGGTGAGGACCGCTGACCGCCGCTGACCGGGCGCTGGCCATGGGTGACCTCACCACCGACCTGCTCTGCTTCGGTAACCCGCTGCTGGACATGATCCTGCGGGTGGAGGACGGCCAGCTGCTCACCAAGTACCGCCTGCTGCCCGATAACCAGATCGAGGCCGACGACGACCAGAAGGCTCTCTTCGACGAGGTTTTCGCCAGGTCAGTGGTCATTGGACACAAATCGCTGCGTTGGGCACGGATATTGGCGTATTATGTTAGTTTCTCTTGACTGCGCGTCACTTTGGTGACACATAGTGACCGAATCTGCTCGATCCTCGGCCGGTCAACACCGACAGGCTATTTTGCTTTCGCCGAAATCCAAAGGAAACCATATCTGTACAAGGAGATTGCCTAGTTAAGCACCACCATCGTCATTGCCATGACCAATAATTGTCAATTTGGTCAATTTGACCATCTTTATCCCCTATTATTAGAACAGTATTGGTCAAGGTGCGACTCCTAACCGTCGCTCTGCCCTGGTGCTGACCTGACCTGTTTCTGCGATATCAGTGTCCTAACTGCCGCTCCGCCTCTGCCCCCCCCCCCCCCGGACAGGAGCGGCGAGGTGACGTTCTGCCCGGGCGGCTGCGCCCAGAACACGGCCCGCATCTACCGCTGGATCCTCGGAGACCGCTCCTCCGTCTCCTTCGTGGGCGCCGTGGGAGCCGACAAGTTCGGACAGCGACTCGAGAAACTGGTGCGAGCCGACGGCGTCAACACTCGGTGAGGACGCTAGAAGCGCTGCAGCGATCAAGCGGGGCTTGTGTAGGTGTTGACTAGTGAAAGACTTAGATGCATTAGCTGCGGGGGTTGTGCGGGATAATTAGATTATCCATAAAAGTGCGGGATAACTAGCGATCCATTAGAGACAATTGAAACGGCAAGGATTTCTTGAGAGAATAAGGCTTGTGTTTTAGCTAATACCAGTAAAACGCCTTTTGGGCGACCAACGGAGCGAGCGAGAGGATGGGCCTTGCACGTGCGAAATTGCGAGGGGGTACCTCCAACTAACTTGTGCACTGCACCCTACTAACCGGTCTTTAGCGATGTGCCAAATTTCAGCGCAATCGGCCTAGCCGTTCTCGAGATCTGGAAGCGGCACACTGCACGTGCGCACGTGCAAGCGGGGTCCAAACTGACTTTTGCACGGCACCCTACTAACTGGTCCCCAACCGTGTACCAAATTTGAGCGCAATCGGCCCAGCCGTTCTCGAGATCTGGGAGCGCCCCCTGCACGTGCGCACGTGCTGTAGCACCCCAACCTTAACACATGCAGATGAATTATCTGATGGAGACCTAACTGTGTACCGAGTTTCAATTCAATCGGCCCGACCGTTGTGCCGTTATTGAGGTTGCAATTTTGGGGGTTCTTAAAAAATGTCCAACTTTACCACGCGCCACGTGCGGTGGTTGGCAAGAACGCATGGTGGCCATCACACCACAGAACTTTTACGTCCAAGTGACATTCAGTAAAGAAGACCGCTTGTCAATCGGATGTCCCGTTCCTAAGATATTAGCTTTTGAAGAGCGTCCCCACGGCCGGCCGGCCGGCCGGCCGGCCGCTCATACTCAGGATTTTCCCTTAATTCAGTATGAGACTCCGCTCGCTTCGCTCGCTCCGTAAACATGGCTGTTTGTCTGATAGGCTGTGTGGAGTGGGGTAAGGACTTATTAACCCTTGTTCTTTGTTGCACATTGTATTCACACCTTGTTGCATTTGGTATTCTTGCAAACTGCTGAACACCATGCGTTCGTTGTTACGATGATGCCCCATCGTGTCACCGCGCTCGTAGAAGACGGTCCGCGTAGTGGGTTCTCTGTCTGCCGGCGCTGTCAGGCCGTGCTAACCTGTGTGACCCGTCCCCACTACAGGTATGTGGTGCACGAGGACCGTCCGACGGGCCGCGCCGTCAGTCTGGTCTGGGGCACCAACCGCTCCCTGGTGGCCGACCTGGGCGCGGCCACCCTCTGCCGTCCGGACCGGGTGTTCACGCCGCGCAACCTGGCCCTGCTCACCGGCGCCCAGTTCGTCTACATCGAGGTGGGTAATGGATTCGGGTGCCGGCCGCCGGCCGGGGTTTGGCGGTCGCCAGAGGCGGTTGGAGGATGCTGTCTGATTTGCTGTTTTGGTAATGTAAGATACGGAACGATAGCGGGAGATGGTGCGATGCTGGGTGGGATAGGTAGAATGCGCCATGCGGTGTCGGCTGACTCGTATCATTGTGACATGTCGTTATTACGGAGCGAGCGAAGCGAGCGGAGTCTTTCCTTAGATTAACGGAAATTTCTGAGTATGAGCGGCCGGCCGGCCGGCCGTGCGGACGCTTTTGCGAGGCTTATATCTCAGCAACCACTTGACCGATTTACATGCGGTAATTTTTGTAGGGTAGCTTCATTCCTTCTACCAAGTATTGGACTATTCCCGATGCATGTGGGTGACCCCTTATGCACGTGCCACGTGCAAAACGAAGAGGTGTCAGTTTTGCAATTGTTGCAATATTTCGGTAACTACTTGGCCGATTGCGCTGAAAGTTGGCATGTAGGTAGGCACCCACCAGGCACTGTATATCCATGTGCCAGAGTTGGGGTGCTGCTGCACGTGCGCACGTGCAGGGGTCGTTTCCAGATCTCGAGAACGGCTCGACCGATTGCGCTCAAATTTGGTACACGGTTAGGGACCGGTTAGTAGGGTGCCGTGCACAAGTCAGTTGGGACCCATTTTGCACGTGCGCACGTGCAGGGTGCCGCTTCCAGATCTCGAGAACGGCTGGGCCGATTGTGCTCAAATTTGGCACATCGCTAGAGACCGGTTAGTAAGGTGCCGTGCACAAGTCAGTTGGAGGTACCCCCTCGAAATTTCGCACGTGCAAGGCCCACCCTCTCGCTCGCTCCGTTAGTCGCCCCAAAAGGCGTTATACTGGTACTATAGTCTACTTGTATTGTAGGTGGCACTACCCGTCAGTATCATCTTTGAGCTTATTATGGTTTTAGCTCGGATCGGGTCAAAGCTTAGACCTTCAGTTCTTGACTTTGTGCAAATATTCGTTGTGTGTGTGCCTGTTTCTGCTACAATCTGCAATGTCTGTATTGTCGCACCTTCCCCCGCCGCCGTCGTGCAGGGGTTTTTCGTAACGCACGACCCGGAGACGGCGGTGCAGGTGGCGCGCTACTGCTCGCACAGCGGCCGGCGGCTGGTGTTCAGCCTGTCGGGCACCTACGTGTGCGAGCGGCACACGAGCACCATCTGTCAGCTGCTGCCGCACGTCTCCTTCCTGTTCGGACACGTCACAGAGCTGACCGCACTGGCTCGCGCCCTAGGACTGGAGGTGAGAATAGAGGAAGGTACCAAACCCATTACTTCTTTGGATGTATCGGTGAAAGCATGGGTCCTGTCGAGGCTGAGACTCCATTTTAATGTCACATCAGGCTACAACTGTCATTGAGCTAGGCAAGCTAGATTGAGCATTTATGAGCATTGAGCGTATGCTTCCCTCCCGGGGTCTACAACAGTGTAACCCCAAACCTGTGACCTGTTTCGGTCAGGACGAGTTTGACATATCGCCGCTGGGCTACGCGCGCCTGCTGGACGCCGCCTTGACCCGGCTCAATACGGTGGAGGCCATGACCCAGTCGGACGAGCCCGACCAGCCCGCCGACCAGGCGCTGCTCAACGGCGACAGTCCCCAGCTCAGGTGAGCAGACACAGGCCCCAGCTCAGGTAGGGGTGCTGCCCAGCTCAGGTAGGGGTGCTGCCCAGCTCAGGTAGGCACTTACCGACAGCCTTCAGCTCAGGTAGGCGCAAACAAAGCACGAAGTAGGTGTCGTAGGGTCGTACCTCTCTTTGTTACATCCCTCTTCACCCTTCTCTTTATCAGATACAGTAACTACATACGTCTAAGTCACTCCTACTTTGCATTTCTGCTTTTGGCACCCCTTCAGCTGGCTGGTGTGCATAATTTGATTTTATCACGTGTCATTATACGCATGCCTGTAATTAAGCAATGAAGCGTATTCCGGCAACCGTTTTAAATAATTTTGCATTGACGTCATTGTCCACGTCGCGTTGGAGTGAATGATTAACCACCATTGCACCATCACGGTCTTTGTAGCCAGTGAACTTAATCTAAATGATCCACGGCCCACAACTTCCAGAGCTGACGCACGCCCTTTGGCATGCATTCATGACTTGCCATTGCCGTAGCGAGCGGTTCCGCGTGTATTCCCGGCAGGCGCTATATTATGCATGGGTAGTTTGAAACGCCAGGGGGCCCACTTACAATACGTGTTTGGTCATGATTTCCCTGGTGCTCCCCATTGATTATTGTATGCAGCACCCAGTGGGGCCTGCGCCAGGCACCTGGCAGCCCCGGGTCCCACAATGTGTTACTGAAGCTCCACAATTCATATTGTCGTGTCGCCAGAACTCGCATTACAAACGAGTCTGCTCTGTGCAGAATTCGCGCTACTGTTGCAGCTTATTTTGTGCATCTTAGTGGTGACCTTTTCTCTGAAAACTCCAAGAGGACCAAAATCAACCAAAGCGAGACGTACATGAAAAACAGCATCAATGGCGCCAAATAGTTATCAACTGACCCGTTCGACCATCGCCGCTATCCTGTGCCTTGCTGTCTGGCTCTTGCTCTCTCAGCCACTGACTGTTCGGCGACTGCTCGCTGTGCTCTCCCACTACCACAGGATCGTGGCGCTCACCCAGAGCGCTGAGCGGATGCTGCTGCTGGACTGACCGCCGTGCTCTGCCTCTCACTGTTCGCTGTGTTCTTCGACCGCCACAGGATCGTGGCGCTCACAAGGAGCGCTGAGCGGGTGCTGTATCACACTGTTCACTGTGCTCTCCCACTACGGTAGGATGCGCTCACAAGGAGCGCTGAGCGGTTGCTGTATCCCACTGTTCGCTGTGCTCTCCCACTACCACAGGATGTGGTCATCCAGAACTCCGAGCCGGTGCTGTATCCCACTGTTCGCTGTGCTCTCCCACCACCACAGGATGTGGTCATCCAGAACTCCGAGCCGCATGAAGGAGATGGAAGCCCAGATCCGGGTGCTGAAGTCCAGGAAAGCGCCCGGCCCGGACCAGGTGTGCACCGAGCACCTGCGGCATCTCGGCCCCACAGCCAAGTCCGTACTGCTGCGCCTGATCAACCAGACCTGGGCAGACGCCACCATACCAAGCGCGTGGCGGAGGGCCACCATCATCCCGATTCTGAAGACCGGCAAGAACCCGCAGTCCGTGACGTCATACCGCCCGATAGCCCTCACCAGCCACGTGGCAAAACTGGCAGAACGGATGGTCGGCGCTCGACTCAGCCAGATCGCCGAAGCGAGGAACCTGATTCCTGCCGAACAGGTGGGCTTCCGGCGCGGAAGATCGGTGGAGGAGAACCTCGGCCGCCTTGTGCAGACCGTACAAGACGGCTGGAACCGACCCCGCCCCGCCGGTCGCCCTACCGAGGGGAAGACGGCGGAGAAGTTCGCGCTGGTAGCGTACGACTTCAGTAGAGCTTATGACAAGATCGACCACCGCATGCTACAACTTAAACTGCTTCGTCTCCAGCTCCCACTATGCATGGTTAACTGGATCTTCCAGTTCCTCCGTGACCGACGCGCCAGGGTGGAAGTGAACGGCTGCCTCAGCGAGGAGCGCCCCTTCAGAGCGGGCCTCCCTCAGGGCTCGGTCTTGGCACCGACCCTGTACACCCTGTGGTCGGCCGACCTGGTGAGCGACCTGAGGAGCGTCCCGGGTACCAGCGTATTCATGTACGCCGACGATACCGCCACACTGAGCGGTAGCTGCCGGATGGAGACGGCAAGAGAACGAGCCCAGATCGCAGCTGACACGATGGTCAGGTGGGCCAACAGGTGGAAGATGGTGATCGCCGGGGAGAAGACCCAGGCCCTGGCCCTCTCCCAGTGGTCCCATGACGCAAAGGACTTCCAGATCAAGGTGGCCGGAACATCGGTCAAAGGATCCCCGCACCTGAGACTCCTAGGAGTCACCTTTGACAGACTCCTCCACTTCGGGGAACACTGCAAGAACCTGCGCCGGAAAGTGAAACCCAGGACGGCTCAGCTGAGGAAGCTGACCGGTCGCAGCTGGGGCCTCCAGGAGGCGCAACTACGGACCGTTGCCAACGGATACGTTCGGGGCGCCCTGGAGTACGCGGCAGCGGCGTGGCTCCCGGCGGCGTCTGAAGCTCACGTCGAGCTGATCGAACGGGAGCTGCGAGCGGCGGCCCGTGCGGTCACTGGCTGCACGGCCTCGACCCCGACCGCGCCGTTGATGGCCGAGGCCGGCATCCCGCCGGCGCGAGTACGATGCCCGGCGCTGGCCGCCCGCATGGTGGGCCTGGCCGCCTCGCTGCCCGGCGACGACCCGCTCCACGCCGTCGGGGAGATGCACGTCGCGCCCCGCCTGAGGACGACCACCGGATGGCGTGACGTCGGCCACCGTGCCCTGGCTTGGACAGGTGCGGCCGACGTCAAAGTGGAAGGACGCCCTACAAAGACTATCCCACCGTGGGACCACCATGGAGAAGCCGTGACGTTCTGCCTGGACGTCGGCCCCGGCGGCCAGAGAGCGGCCCCTGCGCACATACGGAGGGGAGCGGCAGAGGCCACACTGGAACATCTGCCGCCCCGCGCCACCTGGATATGGTCGGACGGCTCGGCGGAGGGAGGCGTCTCCCAGGGCGGGGGCGGTGCCACTATCACCCTCCCGTCGGGAGAGACTCGGGAGGTCCGAGTCCCAGCGGGCCAGCTCTGCTCCAGCACGCGGGCAGAGCTGTGTGCCCTGAAGGCGGCCCTGAACGCCATCCGAGACGCCGACGCCGACATCGCAGACGACCCAATAGTCATCTGCACCGACTCCCAGGCCGCCCTGAGGATGCTGGAGAGCGGCGCCTCCTCCCAGACGACTCACCTAGGGATCTCCATCTGGGAGGACCTACTCGCTCTCTCCAGCCGAGGGTCACCGATCCGCCTCCAGTGGGTCCCGGCGCACTGCGGCCTGCGGGAAAATGAGAGGGCCGATGAGCTGGCCAAGGAGGCCTCCGGCCTACCCCAGGAGACAGCAGCAACAGACGTGAGGACGCTAACGAAGGCCGTCGCACGCTGCGCCTCCCACCGCTGGCGGCAGGAATGGCCGTCCAGCTTCTTCAAGGACATCATGCGGGACCGTATGCCGTCTCCGCTCAACAACCTCGACCGGGATGCCGCCGTCAACGTCCACCAGCTGCGGGCCGGGCACTGGGGCCGCTCGGAGCAGTATCTGCACCGTATCGGGCGGCGCCCCATCCCGACCTGCCAGCAGTGCAACCTCAAGGCGTGCCCCGCAGCCCGCTGCATCGTGTGCAGAGAGGGCGCCGACACCCCGGAGCATGTGTTGCTCAGGTGCCCGTGCCTGGCCGGCGCCCGCCTGCGACTGACGGGCAACATCCACATTCGACCAGAGCAGCTGAAGGACGGCGAGCTGGTGGCGGCCTTGGCCGCCGGCTACCTCCGCCACAAGGAGCCCCTCATGGGGCTACAGGCCGGCCCCAGCCGGCCCTGAGGGGAACACCAACAACAACAACAACAGCCGGTGCTGTATCCCACTGTTCGCTGTGCTCTCCCACCACGGTAGGATGCGCTCACCCAGAGCGCTGAGCGGGTGCTGTATCCTACTGTTCGCTGTGCTCTCCCACTACGGTAGGATCGTGGTCACCCAGAACTCCGAGCCGGTGCTGCAGTTGACTATCTAGCGTGCTCCGTCTCTGACTGTTCGGTGTTGTCTCTGACTGTTCGTTATATGCCGCAGGATAATTGTCACTCAGAGCGCGGAGTCGGTGCTGCTGCAGCTGACTGTTCGCTGTGCTCTGACTGTGCGGTGTGCTGAGTGTTGTGTCTTCTGTCTGACTGTTCTATGACTTCACTGTGCTCTCACTCTACCGCAGGATAATTGTCACGCAGAGCGCCGATCCGGTGCTGCTGCTGGACGGCGTCTCCCTGGTCTCCGTGCCCGTGCCGGCCATCGACGAGCGCCAGATCGTGGACACAACCGGCGCGGGCGACGCCGTGGTCGGCGGATTCCTGGCCGGACAGTTCCTCGGCGAGTCGCTCGAGGACTCTGTCAGGTGAGCGCAGAACTCAGTCAGGGGAGCGCGGGTAGACGGACAGTCTCAGGTGAGTTCGAATAGATAGACATTAGACAGCTCCTCGGCGAGTCGCTGGACGACTCCGTCAGGTGGGCGCTGATAGACAGACAGTTTCACTAGCCGTGTACATGCCAACAGGTGCAGCCTGATCCCTGCGTTAGTGTTCGCACTTCGCAGCATAACTTTCTCAGAGCAGGCCCCGAGCCCGCCGCGTTGTCCCTTGCCCCAACCCGGGAGGTGTGTTCGTTGTCTGACCGCCCCCCCCCCCCCCTGTCCCCAGGTACGGCGTCCTGGCCGCTCGGGAGGTAGTCCAGGCACTGGGCTGCTCCATCCCGGCGCGGGGCCACCCGCTGACCGAGCCTCCTCTCACCAACGGCGTGGCTAGCTAACCCGTCTGACGGACCACGCACTCCGCACGGACCGGGCGGCGGCGGCGGCAGGTCAGTGGGAGCAGGGCCGGCGGCCGTCAGCCCGTCTCGGCCCAGTGGTGTGACCCGCCGCCCACGGGGTGCCGCGGCTCCCCGCTGCCAGTGGGCGACCACCGGCCGGCGGGCAGCGGAGGGCGGACCGCTCAGGTGACCGTCTAGTCCGGGTAGGTAGTTGTGATTTCTGAGATCGACTTCTCGGTTAGTACGAGGGGTCGGGCGGGTCACGTGATCTGACTGGAACCAATTCTGGTGGGTCACGTGAGCCCTGCCCCGGGTTCTTATCAGTTCGGTGCAATATTAGGTGAAAGGGACTTCTAGTTCAGGAATGCGATGTCCGCGACTGTTTGGTAGAATAGTCGTACTAGTCGTTCGGTTTAGTTGAGTTCTGGTGTTAAAGTTGTTTTCAGTCATCACATTTGTTTTGTGTGGGTTCAACTGAAGATATTAAGTCGGTGCAGTGTACTGTGCAATGGAGTGCGAGCAGGAGCTTTAGCCGCTTGTGATAAGAGCAATTGCTGCCTTGTTGATATTCGATGTAATGGATTTGATCCAGTGATTGCTGACCTAGTCTTCGGTGCGGTGTATTATCAGTTTATCTGCTACCTTTCAAATGCATGTACATTGTATGAAATTGACCAGTTGCAATACAGGGTGTGATGCATACCCTTTCTGACCGAAGCGTTGCAGCCCTGGTTGCCAAGGGCTGAACAAAGTTGTCTGTAACCGGTACCGTTGTTATCAGCTGTGGCATCTGCTGGACTTACCCTTCTGACACACAGCAGTCGTACCTTTGACTCCAGTCACCAATGACTCTGTATGAGCGGGGTTGGTGGCGCTGGGTGGCGCTCCGTCACCGTTACCGGTCGGCCAGCGTCCCCGCGGCGCGGGAGCGGACAGACGGCCGGCTCATATGCACGGTCCGCCGCCGGGCCGGGCCAGAGACATGGCTCCCAGGACGGCGCCGGTGCCAGGCAGCTCGCGACAATGCATCATCCTGCCGCCATTCCAGTGGCATAATAATGAAACCAATGAAACCGCCGCTGATACATTTCCTATTTTGATCGGGCTGATATGCGTGCTTCGATGCCATAGTCCGTCGGCACGGTAATAGACCTGTGTGTCTGTTATACTCTGCTGTCACGGAATAAACAGATCTATCCAATTGGGGCCGTAATTAGGTGCGCCGAGGCGGCGGTCCGCCACGACCCGGCTATTTATTTCAATCTGTCCGGTTCAAGCAAATAGCGCAGTGTTACCGGAGCCGCTCGTGGCGCCATCTAATCGAGTCGCCGGGACCGCGGTTTTGACCCAGCACTGCCTCTACAGTCAGTGGTTTGGTGGCCCACAGTGGCTTATATAAATAATCACACGACTTTTCCTTGTAACGACTGTGCTAGATTATTGGCCATGCTGAGTTTACGTTTCTTTTTCATTGTGTTATGGAGCACAATTATCTCCCCATTGGCATCTTCTCGAGTGCTGTGTTAAGCACCCGTTTAGCCCCTGCATATAGCCGTACTCCGTGATGTGGGTACTTACAGGTGGTGGTACCAAGCGCACTCTCTTCTAGCATGCATGCCCGATCAGTGCTGATATGGTCACACTCCCAAACACATTGGGGCTTATGTTTGCACCTGTGCAGGTGGACGTATCGCACGTGTACCAGGTGGATTCGTGTATCGTGTAACGTTGCGACTTTCCGTGTTACATTTTCAGCCTGTTTGGGTTCAATCCAGCGTTCCTCTCCTGTTCCTGTCATCGATCATAACTGCTTCCGATTCCCCGTTCCCGTCAGTTGACGTCCTTTATGCGAGCGATTGTTCGAACCATCTGCGACGCGGATAATCCGGTGAGCGAGAGTATGAAGAGAAAAAGGCACAAGAGAACGTCCAAGATCTTTATAATGGAATCGCACATATTGTCCTGTTCGGCGCGCGGCACCCGCGACCACCGATACGGCCGGACAAGACAGAGAGACAGACGAAACGACAGACAGACAGACAGACGGACAGACGGATAGAGATAAAGTTGCCCAGATGTACGGGCAGAGAGCGGAGGGCTGTCGCAGCGCCAGCCGAGAGGTGTAGAGCAGCGAGACGCGCGCGAGAGCTACGAGAGAGTCGGAGAGACCGAGACAAGCGGCAGAGCGGAGCAGCAGCTGAGGCGTCCAAGAGAGGGACCGGCGCAGCCCAGCTAGACAGGCGCGGGAAGCGAGACGCACCTCGCCTCGAGACAAACGTTCATGGCAACAATTTTTGTCATTTTATTACAAAAATGGTTTCAATGATTAAAACATGGTGCGGTCAACAGCGAGCGGGTCGGCTGGCGGACTGGCGGCGGCGGCGGCGGCGGCGGGCGGTCCTACCGACCCGCACCGGATAAGGGAACTTTTTTTTGCGGCCAAAGGCACGTTATTTAACAACATTGAGTGATCCAACCATGGGTAGCCGCCCGACGGACTGGGGATGGGGCGGTGCCGCCGCCGCCGGCCGGGCGCCGCGCGCGCGACACGGGCCGCCCGGCCGACACTCCGCCGCTCCCCGCGGACCGGTATAAACACCAATCATAAACGACGCGCCAGGGCGGCGAGTGGCCAGCGGCCTGACCTGACCTGACCTGCGTCGCGCCATGTGACCTGACAAATCGGTCCTCGCCCCAACAACTACCTACACATACAATGCAATAAAAATGCAATATGAAGAGCCGAAAACACCAATTTTCGAGCCACCATCAACTAGACATACACTACGTTAAACAAAATCCGAAGACACGGAGCGAGCATGACCAAACGCTGGGGAGACAGTCGCCTTCGATATATCGGTCCATCGACCAGAGAGAGAAACAGGGAACTTCAAACAAAGCCGGAACCGCACTACCGCACTCGTCTAGCCTCAAAAGGCACCGAGATGGTACAAAAATAGTCACGTCTGGCTGATATGTTAGCGTGCCTCTGCGGCGCTGGCGCTGGCGCCATCGGGCGGCCGGCCGACCGACTGGCTGGGCCGACCGGCCGCCGCGCACGGGCCTAGATTTGTGCTGCTGTGTCGGCTTTAGAAAGGAGGATTGTCACAGCCCATATTAATTTGACAGACGGGCTTTAAAGCTGTCACAATACTGCTGACCGGAGCGATGCGTCGACCACGCTCCCACCTCCTGCTTTGTTCCCTGGAGTTCTCTCTCGCTCTCCCCGTCGCGTGCGGCCGCCTCAGTGGCGGGTTCACCTGGGCCCCGGACCGCGCGGCTGCGGTACTCTGGCCTGAGTCCGGCCGTCCTGCCGCCCGCGGGCCCTGCCTGCGGCGTTCGGGCGTCTCTGGGCTCCGCCCGCGGCCAACCAGCCACCCGGCCCTGCCTGTGGCTGTCGGACCACTGCCTGTGTCCCTGGAGGGGTCTCAGTCGGCGGCGGCGCTGGGCTGCTCGGCCGACCGGCCGGCCCGCCACTGGCCTCCTCAGAGGGACGCGCGAATAAATACCGGCGGCGCAGCGCGGTTTTCCATGAATTTCGGTCGCCGTTGTACCGGAATGCTACAACATGTGGGGCCTGTGTAACGACTCTGCTGCGTAACGTCCCCCGCCGCTCGACGCGCCTCTGTACATCGTACATTACTACTTTACCGTCTCCAAGTATGTCTAGTTTACCCAGCTCTGACTAATCTCTCCCTCCGACCTCAGCCACTAGCCGTACGCAAGCAAATGCAAAAATAGGCTCTCCGGTGGCCGGGCGGGCTGCTGCCTGATCCAGTGACGTCACGCGCCGCTCCGGCGGCCGTTTGTTCGGTAGGCTGTGGGTCAATCCGGGTCGGCTGTGGGTCGAGTCCGGGTCGGCCGGCCGGCACCAGGCGCCGTGCCGTGCCCTCCTCCGCTGCGCGCTCTCGCCGGGCCTCTTAGATGGTCGACTTGGAGAACGAGACCCGCAGGTGGTTGGCGTCGCTCAGTTGGTAATTATGCATTTTCTGAAACAGAGGAGACATTCGAGTCAGCTTGGAGGAAAGCAATAGCTCATGCGGGTACTGCATACCTACGTACCGGCTCGGCCCGGCCACCGCGCTGGTGCCATATTTCAGCAGTAAATGTGAGAGGTGCTCTGACCGACCACCCCGGCCGTTCCAGGCGGTCCAATCTGCCTCAGACCCAGCCACCTGAGCGGGGGCGTCTGATCGCGGCGCCCCCAGAGGCACATGAGCGGGGCGGCCGGACCCCCCCCCCCCTCCTCCCGAGAGGTATCTGAGCGGGGGCGTCAGATCGCCCCCCCCCCCCCCCCCCCCCCCAGAGGCACCTGAGCGCTCGGTCAGAGGGTATCCGATATCGGGGGCAATCGGCATTTCCGGCCGGTACTTTACCGACCGGCGGCTGGAAGCCCCTTATATGCAGGGGTGTCGATTTGTGAAAACGGTTGGGCGTGCCCAGAGCTTTAACCCTCGCCCGTATACATTTTGGGGAGGGGGGGTCGAACGGACCCCCCTCGGTTTTTCGCGAATAACTCGCGTAAAAAGCGGCCGATCACGACGAAACTTTCAGTAGTGCCCTCGCGTTGATCAATTTACACCTACTCTTGAAATTTCATGACCCTGACCCAAATGACCTTTGACCTGTGACCTTCTTTTCGAGACCATGTTTGGCCGGAATCTTGGCGTATGTCGGCTCGCATAAGCCGCGCGTTTGCAGTCTTTTCGTGGTTTCAAGCGTTCAAACATGTGATATGATGTTGCTCCCATGCATTAGGGTGGGTGTCAAGGTCACCTGAAGGTCAGGTCAGGTCATTGACCTTTGATGACCATTGACCTTTGATGACCTCGGTTCACTTCTTTGAGTTTTAAATGTTTCTGGGCTAGTTTTTGGAGCTGAATTCGAATTTAGCAACCATATGAACATTTACGAAGTAGTTTTGGTGCCTTCGTAGCATGTTACGAAGCTGTCTCATATGCCTTTTTTAAGATAAAACTGCATTGTGTTAGTATCAGGTAGGCCCTGATAACATGTTAACTGGGTGGGCAATCGCCCACCCAGTAGCGATTTTTGCCCACCCAGTGGAGTGTGTTTGCTCACACAGTAAAGACGGAGACGGAGCAGTTTTACCCGCGCTGGGCCGGTGCTCAGCGCCTTCCGCGCCGGGCCGGGGGTGTGTGTCTGAACACCCCCGTCTAAATCGGCTCCTGGGCCACGTAGCGACAAGCGGTAGGCGGCATTAGAAAGACAGTTAAAATAAAAAGAGAATACTTGGTCTTTATGAGGTCAGGTCAAAGCTCAGGTGACCAGAGATCATAAAAGGTCAAGTTTGGATTGTTTGAACAATTTGCGAAAACCTGGCGCATAATTTGGGAACTAATAGAGCTGCAGCGCCGCGGAAAAGCGCAGTCGATAGCTCTTTCAACGCTCTTTCGCCAAAGTAGTCCTCAGATTTGACCTCAGGTCAACGGCTTAGCATAAACTCTCCAGTGGGCAAAAACTCCAATAATAGCCACTTATGAAAAAGCTTTTTTTCTGCCATAGCTATTAACTCGAGAAAGTCATGACATTTATTTTGCCAGCCATCATGTTGTTATCAAGACGCGTCAAATAAACTATAGTTTGACCTTGAAATTTCATTAAGAAATTGGACCCCGGGTCAAGGTCAAGACCTGACCGGAAAAGGTTATGTTTCATGTCAGTCGATCCGTTCAGTCGATCATCGCTCTAGCATGCGCCTACCAGAAGTTATTAACGAAAAACTGTTAGGCTCCCTTTTGTGACCTGAGATGACCTTAGGGATATAAGGAAGGGTCACGTCATTTTCACGTCGGGTGTCATTTTCCAGTTCAGTGTGTCATGTTGAATTGTTAATAGGTGTTTGGAAGTGTTCAGAATGGTGTCCGTCCAGAAAAAAACGCATTTTAATTCCCTTCCATTGACACTGGTGATAGATGTCGGACTTTCGTCCCCGTCTTGAGATGAGATGTTCGTTTGTCTGGCCGCTATGTCTGCCTCGAGCGGTGGAGTATTAGTAACAACTGTCGCCTATTACCGGGGCAACCCGAGATCATTTCCCGCTGACCACAGGAGCTTTCGATAAGGTATGACGCGTACGGCGCAACGCCACCAACACCCAAGATCTTACTGTGGACCAAAGAACAACTGACGACGGCCGGAGAAGTAACTGGCCGAAATGTTGTGAAACTAACATCTCACCTCAAGACGGGAACGAAAGTCCGACAACTAACATCCATGATACTAATGCCTCGTCTCAAACATTCCGAAGAATTATCCCATGGACTTAAAGGTAATGGGGAGGTGGCAAAGTTGACCTGACCTTAGGTCACCGGTATCGAAGTTTCGAGATATACATTTTGTACAACGCCGCTATTTTGACTTATTTATCCCTGTGACGTCATTTTTTACCTGACCTGAAAATGACCTCAGTAAAAATTGTATACTTTGTCCGTCTGTATCCCATGCCATTTACCGCTTGTTTCTATCTTGCTTCGTTCTCGAGATATCACGGGAGCAGGTATCCGCCCCCGTCGGTGTGAAGTTGGCGCGGAATGCGGATCCCCGTTGGTGCGCGGGTTAAACCATGATATTTCGGACCAAAAGATTATCTCGCCACTCAAAGCAAAACTTCAGGACGTCCGGAACCGAAAACCCATTGACGCGGCACGAATGCGTCGAATTGCTACCAAATCCTGCTGTCTGGTATAAATAAAGCGAAAAATTGTGTCTATTTTTTACAACGCATTTTGATGTACGGTAATTAGAGCAGGGGCGCGGGAACTACTTTCAGACTGCGGGGGGGGGGGGGGGCACACCATAATTGAAATTAATCTAGGGTACCCCCAAACCTAGTTTTCTCGCCGGTCTTAGGCCACTTATTTTTCATCCCTTGGCGTTTTCACCAAAAAAGAAACATTTGCAAAAAAGTGAGATATTCCGTCTTAAAGCTGTGGGGGCACGGTCCTCACGGCCCCAGAGTTGGGGGGGGGGGGCAAACTGTCCCACTAACCCCCCCCCCCCCCCCCCGGCTCCTACGCCTACGAATTAGAGAAAACAATGTGTTCAAAGAATCGTAACAGTGATGCCAGTACCAACTTTAGTTGTGGGCGCCCAGAGCCCCTTGGGGGGTGCCCAACTCAGCATTGGGGGTGCCCGGGCACACCCAAAAGTATACAAATCGACACCTATGCTTATATGGGTTAGTTTATTACCGTCGGTGACGCTAAAACCGGCGTAAATCATGCCTGTAGGATTGCAGGGTGGGGGAGGTTCAAATGCGCCTTCACTAGAGATAGCTTTCCTAGGAAATAACCGTTGGTGAAACACGACGGCAGTGAAATGATGGAACATTTGGATTTTGGTGGTATGCCAGTTGAATGCCAAACTCGTGTTGGATGAATGTTTTAAAACATTTCATTAATTTTATCGTTTTGGGTGTGATTAATGTCTTACTGACCTAAACGCCGCAACGGCCAAAGGTAGATTGCTGGCATCATCTCCAGGGCCAAACTATAGGGAGGCAGCAGCAAGCGGCATCTGAATATAAGTTCTGTCTATTTGAATTCATCACACTTCTCGTATGCTCCATCTTTTCAGCGTTTCAATAATGCCTCTGCCAATTACGAGTCTAACCCTGCAGCATGCGCCTTCTAACACGATGAGTCGCTAGACAACAATATTAGCGCGTGGCATCTTTGGAACTTTGCGCACCAGTTGAGCCCTTGCACGGTCAATGAAGATACCAATCTACCGGAACCAGTAACGTGGCAACATCCTAGAACACAGCCGGGACGGCCGCATTTTTGGCAGCATTTAATCTCGCCATTCCTAACGGTTTTGAACGGGTGCCACAGAATTCGTCTCGCGCCGCTCCGCCGACTACCGGCGAGCAGTAACGTCCCGTGCAGAGCCGCGCCACAAAGCCTGCTTTACGACGCCGGCAACACAGTAAAGGCATTAGGTGCCGGCTGGCGTACGGCACACGGCGTCTGGGCGCTCCCCTCCCGCCGGCGTCAATCGGCGCTCCCAGCTCACTGCCGCAGCTGAGCCGCAGCCGAGTTAGGTGTGCGTTTGGTGGGCGAGTATAGTCAGAGACGCGGTATCAGGGAGGGTTTTAGCACGGCTGATATTGAACCGGAGAGGGAGCTCCCCGGGGAGGGCTATGGTCCGGGAGGAAACCAGGATAATCTCAGTCTGGGTGGCAAAGTGGATGGGATGTGAGGAAAGATAGGCACCAGCACCGCATTGGGTAGCTGCTGGCTTACATTTTGCCCATGTTAGCAGTGAAGTTCGATGAGTACCTATTGCATTGCCATTTAGAATTATCAACTTTTCGTGGTGAACTTTGCTCCGCGGACAAGAGAACTGCAATCTAGTGAGCAATACGGAGTACTCACAATGACCGGACCCCTCGAACTGAGGAATAATCACAATGCGTCCGAGCTGAGGAAAACTCACAATGAGTTCCAGCTGATGAATACTTACAATGAGTGCCATGACGGCCTCGTCGACGGAGCCCAGCTGAATGAGCGCCATCCGGTGGTCGCGCCGCTGCTGGCCCGCCTCCGCCTCCGCGCCGTCACGCTTCCTGTGAGCAGCACACCCGCCGGTGACGTCAGATGGTGACGTCACACCCGCACGGCCGGCGGTCGATCGCACCTGGGCCTTCCCACCATGACGACACAGCAACACGTGCGGCAAACATACATAACCGGACGGCCAAAGGACGATTTGGCGGCGGCAAACGGCGGCGTGTGGGGAATCGTACATTCATGGGCGGCACTTTACCCTTTTACGTGCATAAGTGCTTCATTCGTACTGGCCTATCTCCCTGAAGTTATTATCCTATTCCAGTATGGAAGGACGGTAGGTCCCAAGTTTGTCATTTTATACTGCTCAGACTGAGCAGTTGAAGTAGCGGCGGCGGGGGCACAGCGGCGGGAAGCCAATATTGCTTCTCGCGCAAAGATACAAATAAAGTCTGAAAGTCTCACTTTTCGACGATGGTCGCAGAGATGAGTAATTCAAGGCGAACTTCCCAGAACTCTGAGAGAAACTACTGGCCTCCTAGAAAACATCGTCTCCCGGGGAGTCTGCGGAACAAAATCGAACGTACCGAATGCACCACAGCGTATTGGACCCCACCGGACCAGCCGGAGTTCACTGCCCCCGGGTCACTCACGGGAAGAATTTGAAGGCCTTGACGTCGAAGCCGGCCACCTCGAAGGCCTGCCGGATGTCCTGTTCGGTGACGTGCGGCGGGACGTTGGAGAGGTGCAGCGTCGCCGACGGCGGGTAGATGTTCTGGTAGTTCTTGCTGCCCGGCTTCTTGAAGCGGTGCAGCGACGAGTTGGTGAAGTCCTTGGTGAGGCCGGCGTCCGGCTGGCCGTCCTTGGGCATCTGGACGGTCTGGTGTTTGCTGGGCATCACCCGGATCTGGCGGCCCCACACCTTCACCTTGTCCAGGTGACTGAGCGCTGCGGGCACACAGGCCAAAGGTCGGCACAGTCAGACGCGGCACTCCATCAGACTGAGGCGGCCATCCGGCAGGGAGATGGCCGTAATGACATTGGAAAACATTAGGCAAAGGTTAGGTATGGCGAACCAGGTCGCTAACGCTCACACAGGAACTCGTGATCGTACGTGATTGCGACCGTTATCGCATTTATTCGGAATACTTAAGTAGGATCTGTGTCGGACTGAGGTCGGAGGTCGAAAAGCCCCGCTGAAAGCAACACGGGAACTCCCCTGCCTCCCTGTGGGACGGCAGTGTCAGCCTCGGGTCGCCCAAGTGTCACGCGAATGTGGCACGGCACGTCCCAACAGAACCAGGGCACGACCTGTACCCGGCCGGGGACCGGTGAACCCTGGGCCGTCCTCCCCTCACGGTGCGGGCGCGCTCCCGGACCCGGGCTGCAGTGTGCCGGCGGCCCGTGACGGACGGCCCCGGCCGTCGGCCGAGGGAGACGAACGGCGCCCGCCCCGACAACGGCCGCCCGGGGACACATTGGCACGACAAACCATTTTTTAATCAGACTTTATGGCGGCAACCGCTGCCGGGGAGCCATAAAGTTGGCCGAGCGGCGGCGACGGCGGCGGACACTCACCCACACTGGCCTGGTGCGGCTCGAGCATTTGTACCAGGGCGTTATCCTTCTTGTTGAAGAGGATCTTCACCCGCTGTACGTCGCCGTAGACGCCTGCGAACGCCGGGTGAGGTCAGTGGGGGCCGGGTCGCCGGGCGCGCGACATGGCATCACGGTGCGCGCCGGATTGAAGTGCCACCCCGACCCGATACTGAGGGCCGTCTCCGCACCGATCGGGGGCGGCGGGGCACGGCGCCGCGCGGAAACGGCCACATTTGACACAGCGGAACTGATTGGAGAACTCGGTCCGGGCGTGTGAGCGGGGTCGGGTCCCCCCTTTCGCCCGCCCGTCCGTCCCAGCCCGGCTTGACCCCGACCCGCGACCCGCGGCAGAGCGGCGGCCCGACCGACCGCGACAGCAGCACGTGACGTACCGAAAAGAGTGAAGAGAGCTTCAGGAGAGGCCATCTACAGGCGGAGGCGCACAGGCGAAGGCGCGCACACGCGCGGCGGGCAACAGGAAGAGAAAACAGACCGATTAGAACGGGCACGGCAGATGCACGTCAACACAGTGTGAATGGTGATAGCGCTGCGTAGAGTCACTGGGTGAATACCTACTGTCGAGACTAGTTCACGCACTAACTCACTACATGGGATCGAGCATACGGTAAAACAGCACTAGCCACTACGCATAGTAAATTACTCTGGTAGGGTTCAAGTGGCAAAGTACGAACAACCCGTTACGTTTAAAAGTTTATTTTTTAGCTGAACTTCGATAAACTCAAAGTTCCTCTGCTCTGGCGGGAATTAGCCAAATATGGGGTAAGCTAAACGTTTTAGGAATTAGGATGCGATGTATTATGAAATCTGGGCACTTTGTGCTGAATCAAAATATATTTCACCCACGCTTATTCTGCTGGTAAGTTAACATGACAAATGGTCTGCTCTAACTTCCCCACTCAAAAGCGACGTTTTAGATTAGACAATCAAATCCCAAAGCGAGACGACGGACGGACTAAAAGCTTCTTAAAAAATAAAGTGCTATTCATACCGAAGCTGCGGGTGGGGGGATTTCTTATCCCAGCGGGACTGCATCATCACACGTGTGTCACAGGGAGCCAGCAGTAGGATACTCGTTTAGCACGTGGCTGAGGCCAAAACGTGAGCGGGTATGTGATGAGCAGTCGCTGCGGCGTGTGCGTGGGGGGGGGGGGGATAAAGCACCCCGGGCAGTGCGGCACCCACCTCCTCGTCCAGGTTGGAGACGAGCAGCACGGCGCCGGTCATGGGGTGCCCGGGCAGCCGGCCCGTCATGCCCATCGAGGCGCCCGGCAGACCGCCGGGGACCATACCGGCGAACGGAACTGCGGGTCAACGAGGGAGGGGTGTCACCAGCGGCACACAAGGATAAGAAAACTTCAACCCGTCCCTCCCGGGGCGGTGTAACTTGTTACAGGTCGGTAAAACCAACGAACACGTGATAAAACTAGGCGACGTAGCCGTGTAGACGGCATCATGCGGCTCGCGCGCACAGTATAAAAAACAAAGCGTATGACGTAAACCGGGAATGTTTGCAAGATTGTATTAATCGAACTACTTCCCCAGCCACAGCAGCCAAAGCAGTCTGCCTTATGTCTCGTGCGTAGCCCCACGGGGCACAGCCACCCAGCCGCTCGCGGTGGCGGGCTCGAACCTTGCGGTACAGTATACCTTCAGGCGTGCACTACTAGCGACACCTATACGCGCGAATACAAACTATGACTGTCTTTCGTCTGTGAGTGGCGAAAGCAATTTGACGCGAAACTCTGCAATACTTTCCATAATGATTGAATGAATGAAGTTCAATTTAGAAGAGAAGAGCTCGAACTTTTCCGGATACCCAATCGTAAAATACTGACAACCAGTGCAACAGGTTTGTTTTCTCTCCACAGCCAGCGTGAGCGAACTCCCGTAAAAGGTCGGTAAAAAAAACTTTTAATCCCAAGGAAACAAAGTCCTTAGCCACCGTGAACGCGGGACGCAAACAAACTTTTCCGGAAGTTCTCTGCAGGGACACGGGAAGAGAGACTCGGCGCGCACTGCAGGCGGTGACAGCTTTTTAATTGCTTTCCCATCGTCAATCCCCCTCCCCCTCTCTAACGGCAGGGTAGATGAGGCTCAGTGTCCGAACTCCGGCCAACTCATCACAGCAGCAGCCTTCTACCAAACAATCATCTACGGGTGACCCAACGGGCTGCAGCGGGTGAGCGCGCCCCAGATGAGAACAGAGACGCGATCGAAGACCGGAGGCACGATCGCGGGATGGAGAAACGAGACTACGACGGACACAGCGAGAGATAGAAAATAGAGAGAATAGAAAGAGAGCGCCAACCTGAACGGCCGGCGCCGGCGGCAGCACTGGCGGCCTCTGAAAGACAGAGAGCGAGAGGAGTCAGAGAGGTGGCCAGCAGAAGGCCAGTACAGAGACAGGTGCCGAGAGCTGGCCGCAAGTACAAGGCGAAGAGGCGCAGCATAGCACCCGGCCTCCCAGGAAGCCAGTATAGCCAGTTCATAGGCGGAACTGATCAGATAGAGCACGCAGAGTTACAAATGCAGAGAGAAATATAGGTTACAGAGGCGTGCCTGGAAATAGAGAGGCAAAGCAAAGTGCACGTATATGCATAATTCATCTCTGAGAGCAGCATGGGACTGCGGTCGGGTTCGTGGAGCCGAGAGGGCTGAATTGAGTGTGGGTGGCGGTCAGTGGGTCCGCTGCGGGTGGAGCTGATGGGGGAGCACGCTCCTGGTGCCGACTCACCTCCCATGCCGGCAGGGAACCCCCCGGCCAGGCCCGGCGCCAGGCCGTGCAGGCCGAACGGAGACAGCATGCCCGGAGTGCCGCCTGGGGGAGGGGAGGGGCGGGCACAGGTCAGACGGGGTCGGTGGGAGGGGTACAGGGTCACTGCCGGGACCCGCGGGGCAGGTCACAGGTCAGACACTGCCGGAACCCGGGGCAGGCCACTGAGCCAGAAACACCTGAACCGGGACAGGGCAGGACGGGGGACGGGCCTCGGCTCATGGAGTCTCGGACAGACCTCACAGGCCGCCACCGTTACTGCAGCAGGCGCTGATCGAACCCCGAAACATCTTATCGAGTCTCATAAACAGTGCGCACCGCCCGCCGACTCCATCAACAAACGCCAGCTGACGTACTCGGAAAGCGATATATCGGAACTTGACGTCACCATCGCTACATAAAACCCGACGTCACCAACAGGCAAAGCGAGATCGGGATACGTTCAAAACAGTGGACAACTTCTGAACTCAGCGTACATTATTCTACCAGCTCAGACAGGAATATTAAGGCAAAGCGTAAAAGCAAGCACCCACCACCATCGTCCATCACCCAATCAAGCTGTGGAACAAGCGAGACAATGCACGTGAGACAACGGTGTCACACTTGGGGCGGCACTTGCTGCGACTCTGAGACAGTGGAAGGGGAAGGAGACTAACAGACGCTCAGCATGTCCAGTGTCTGGTCTGCAGCTGAAGCATACTCCTCCTGAAAGTCATCATATGATGGCTCGTCGCTGTCGTCTGCACACCCACCCACCACCAAGCCAGCGTTTGTTGGGATCCAGGTGCACCGTCTCGGTCTGGGCTGGGTCGGTGTGCTGGATGCGGTTGCACCGGTGAGTCATGCAGGCGTGTCGGGCCGATACATGTTAGTGGTAGCCGGATACCAAACACACACAGCGGGGGACACGTGACGGGCGAGTCAGCCACCAGCACCGGTCGGGGGCCCACCGGAGCCAGCCAGCCTCCGCGGGGCGGGCCGCAGTCACCAAGCGGGCGGGAGAAGCAGGGCGGGGGCGGGGGCGGCCGGGGGGCCTCCCGCAGGCGGCCGGCGGGCGGCCCGCCGCGGGGAGACTGGCTGGTGCCGGGCCCGGGGCGTGCGTGCCATCACCTACCTCCCAGGATAAAGGCGGACGAATCGAGCGTGGGGTCACCTGTGGGCAGGCTGGGGTTGGTGTAGTCGCGGGACTTGTCGTTGTTGTACTTGACGTTCAGGCTGGGCAGCTTGGAGTATTCGATGCGCAGAGTGCAGCACGAGTTGTAGATATTTTGGCCATCCAGTTGCTGGGAACAGCGGTCATCAGTGGTAAGGCTAGTGCGATCCACCATGCACTGCGAGTTAAATGCAGTTGCACGTCCGGACCCCGTATTTCCATATAGCGCCGCGAAACGGTGTGCTCAGAAAAGTTCAAACGTTAATTGTTTGCATATTTGACAGAAGTCAACGGAGAATACCAATGCATACACGACGCAAAATATACCGGTGGATATGCAAGCAGTGAATAACCACGTTAATGCAGCCTCGGTGACGCATACTTGACTGAGATAACGTATGATTAAGCTCCATGTTTTCAGCGGTGTTGGGTGTTTGTCGTCATTTCATTACATAAATTTCCATTCAGAGTGCGTCCCTTGAAAGCCGAGTCAGACCCTGTTTTCGCTGCTCGCTAAAACTTGTGTAATTTTGTTGTCGACGAGTCGGCCCAACTTTGGCATTGTTCGTCGTGATTCGACATAATTGGCGCTGGCTGTCGGACACGCGGGTGAGGGGCGGACGCGTAATCTCAGGCAGGCACGCTCCGCCGGGGCGCCTCATCTCGCCTACCACCGGGACACTCACTTTGCGCACAGAGGTCAATAACGCCGGCAGCGGTCTCACAACCAGCAATCGCAGCCAGTCGGCATGGCCATTTCTGCTATTCAGGCTTATGCGAGAGCCAGTGGGCTTTTGAAATAGTAATGACCGAAACACTGACATTGGCTGAAATACAAAACATGGATCTGTGATGAAAATGGATTGCAGTTACCAAACAGCGCCGGAACTTATAAATCCCGAGACTCTGGTCCTCGTGACTGCTGACAGCTCACGTTCCGTGTAGGCGAATACAGCGCCGCATGAAATCCTTCCTATTCGGAGTCGGATACCAGTTAGGTACACGTCGGCAAAAATAAAGTGCATTAAATTTGTTGTACGATGCGATGCATATAGTCATTTGCTACGTGCGACACCATTCCCTTTTAGAGCGAAATATTTCCTAAACGAATGAAAGCTGCATTATCGGTGCCAGAAGTAATGTGACTACAAACAGAGGCCAATTTAGTGATAGCCAGCACTCAAACGATAGTTTACAATGAGCGGAGCAGCACAAAAGGTTAGTCCGACGGAGGATGGGAGAAGGAGAGCCTTATCAGAGTGGAGGGAGGAATATTCATTAACTGCAACTATTGTGACACGTTTTGCGCAAGGGCGAGCATCTGCATACTACACAAAAGGCATGCGAATGATATTGCGCGTTGCATTTTATTAGATTTGTAGATTCATTTTTTACCATTCTTTTGCAGGACTTGCGACTTTCTGAATCCGCTAATGATAGGGAGATTGGGATAGATAGCGCCACGAATGGTGACCTGGAGCTTCCAGGCTGCCTCGACTTTGTTTATTACCTCGCTACACCACGGGTGTGTTCTTTGTACACACAACGGTGAACGGTAAACTAATATCGTCACCTTGGTCGCCCATCAGTCTCTACCTGAAGCTAAAGAGCCCCACATATCCTGGCGCCGTCAGTCAAACTAAGAGGAACGTCACGGCGGCAGACGTCACGGCTGCGCGGGCCGTGCGACGTCACGGCTGCACGGGCCGTGCGACGTCACGGCTACATGAACCGTACTGTGACGGCCCGGCCCGGCTCGGGGACAGTTACCCGCAGACTGCACGGGCAGTCATTTATTCATCGAACGGTCGCTTAGGAGCTGATGTGAAGCTGAGCGCTCACGTAGGTCTGTCTGCCGCCAGCCGCGGCGGCGGTCCGTCCATTGACGCGGACCGATCGCCGCTTCCGGCGGCTGCACCGCGACACACGGCCGGCCGGCCGGCTATCTATAGGTGCCGGACCGGGGCCGGCCGGCCGGCTATCTATAGGTGCCGGACCGCGGCCGGCACGGCTCGGCACGGACGCGACATGATGTCAACCCGGCCAGACTGTTGGCAAACACCGCAGCACCGCCGGCGCCCGCCCGCCACGTGGCCGCATCAAACTGCGCGCCATCGACACACCGGCGTCAAGTCGCGCAGAGAGGCAATCTTATCGCGCGGATTAGCTGGGCAGGTGTCAGAAATCGTCCCGTGCAGCCAGAGATTGGAGGTATGTTCAGTGTTCACGTACGTAAACAGTCGGCACCCGTTCCAACCGAGGCGATCAGATCGTGTTGCGTAAGAAAATGTCGTGTCCGGGCTATTCCTGTGGGGTTTCGTTCTGAACGGTGTCTCGTTTGATTATGCCTGGGCAGTTGGCAGCCCAATCATTCTGACCAGAGTCGCGTCAAATAAATTATAATATATAATAATAATAAGTCAAATAAATTATATTATCAAATCTCGACCCAATCGAACGCCGCCCCTGTCAGTTGGCTAGAATCAGGCCTAATATACGTCTATTCAGGCTGGGAGCGGGCCTAAAATAGCGCCGGTCTAACCGGTCATCAGCTCTGACCGGAGCACGATCGGCGCGGGGCGCGCCGAGCGGAACCGGATTAATATCGACCGGCCGCGACGTGACCGAACTGAACCGCGCCCGGGCCGCGCCCCACTCACCAGTTTGGCCGCCTGCGCGGTCACCACGTCCGGGTACTGGATCAGCGCCTGGAACGAGTTGTTCTTGGTGAACGTGACGATCTTCAGCACCTTGCCGACCCGCGAGAAGATCTGAAACAGGGGGACGCACGCGGTCAGTGTTTGACGTCCCGAGCTCTGCAGACCGGGTGACAGCCGTGAGACAGCCGGGACAGCGCGGCCCGCCGGAACTCCTCTGTAAATACGCATGGTGACATTGACGTAAGCGGTCTGACCATACATAGTGTCGCAATGAATGGTTGGCCCAGAAGACGGCGAGAGGACTGCCGGCTCGGCTGTGGTCAGCCGGAACTGCTTATAGCGCAGGTCACGGTACGTGCCCTAGTCACTGACGGTCGGTATACACACTGTCAGAGCATGGCAGGCATGTCGCATGACTAATAAAACTCATCCATCACTCCCTGTTATCCATTGGTCTGCTGACAACACATGAGATCACAGTCTCGAGGAGAACAGTGGTCACCGTTTTACGCATCATTGGGTGTGGAGTGGCGCCGTAACAGGTTGGGCGACTTGTCCCCGGGGGAGCAATTTGCATTCATGCATACTGGTAACCTCGCTGCTGGTCCCAGCGATCAGCAGTAATAACTGATAATCCCGCTTCCGGTCCCAGGGATCGGTTGTGATAACTGATAACCCCGCTGCTGGTCGGCAGTGAATAACTCGCTGCTGGTCTGGTCCCTGCAATCAGCAGTGATACGGAGGCGGGGCGGGTCTCCCAACAGGCATCGATCGGCAATCCCATTTATGAGCGGGCATGCTCCGTGACATCGCCCAGGCATGCTGGTTGCCACATTGCTCACAGGGGAACGACAGTGGTTGGGTACGTTGTCGGTAAATCAGACCACTGTTCTAATGTGAGCATTGCCCATTGAGCTGTACATAACGACAACAGCACCGTAAAAGGACAATAAAATGAGGAGTGGACCGCGGGACACCACATAGAATCGTTAACTACAGCATTTTAGGCGCAATTTCAAAAAGTTAAAGACCAAATTCAAAACGTTCACGTGCATTTTGAATGTAAACTTTTTGAATTTGGTCTTCAACTTTTTGAAATTGCGCCTAAAAAGGTGTAGACATTCCCAATCACCCATCAGGAGGCAGTTGTCACACAAGGCACGGACGGCGCCGGGCCGGAAGGTGGCGGTCTGGTTAAATATTAAACAAACGTGCAAAATGCCCGCAACGAATATAAGCTGAAAGCAGTCGGCGGCACAAATCAGTGGCGTCACATTGATTCCAAACCACCGTATAAGTGTATAGGGCAGAATATGTCGTGTCAGTTTCCATCAGCCAAGGGACGGTTAGCATTGTCGAGTGCTAAGTCCGTGAGGGAATGTCTGTCCCGTGTGCCAGATCCAGGCCAACGGCTACGAAGGAATGGACACAGAACTTTCTTTCGAAGACAACTTTTAAATTTTTAACTGATCAATGTGAACAAATTAACAAGGAAAACTTACAATTCGCAAGGGCTTGTAACAGTTTAACTTGTCTGGGAAAAAGGTTTCCTGCGCCCTAAGAACTAATCGACGCGCCTTTGATGGACAAAGAAAGAAGAGTGGACAGAGAACATGAAGCTCAACTTATTTCCACAATTTCAGCAGTGCTGGGAGAGCGACGGAGAAACTGAAAGCAGAGTTGGGAGCAGACCGCGGCGAAGGGCGGTTCAGCCAGTGCCGTTTGGGAGCAGAAAGCAGAGTTGGGAGCAGACCGCGGCGAAGGGCGGTTCAGCCAGTGCCGTTTGCCATTTTCTTAATTCACCACATTTCTCAAAACAGGAAACTCTCCTCTACGCCGCCCTCCCGGGACGAGGTGGGAGTGCTCTCCGGCGAGCCGGCGCATCCGACCTCGCCGGCAATAATTGATCGCGCCTCCACCCAGACGGGCCAGCGCTCCCACTGCCTGGAGAAGTGGGGGAGTGGACCAACAAAACACGGGAGAGTGTCCGTCCAGCGACACTCTGGAGCTGTTCGAGCACTTACACTGCCGAGTACCTGTCAGCTCTCCTTTTAGCTCCGTGTTATGTAGACGGAACATCACGACTAAGCGCAGCCTATTCACAAAGCTGAATCACATACCTATATGTTTCGCCGCTCCACCTGTACCCATGAGACGTAGCGAGAAACGGTAGCAATTGATGCGTGGCGCTCGAGCACGACGATAATGGTCGCGCTCGATCGGCATTCATTATTGACCCGAGATGATGGCGGGGCGGGGCGGGGCGGGCCGGGGGCGGTCGCACCATTACCTCCCCATCCATGGCAGCGCCGCTCGCAGTTCAATTAAGGACGGAAATTGGAGCAGCGACCACCACTCAGAGCACCATATTCCCCCGGGGCGAAGCCATCGCCGAGTCCCTAAAGTGGCGGCGACCGCCACTCCGCCGGCGGGGGCGGAGGGCGAGACGGGGGAGCCGTCTCGGCCGGCAGAGACGGCCGTCCAAGTTCTCCAATCAGCACCACGTCGCCCGGTGACCCGGCGACAATTACGGCCTCCGGTGGGCCGGGCGCGCTTGTTAGCCGTCAGCGGCCGCGGCCGGCCGTCATCCGCACGTGGCACCGACGCCGCCGCCGCCGCCCGATCCGGCGACACGGGCTAATTAAGCCCGGCTAGAGGCGAGCCGGGTCGTTACTGGACACGTTTGAAGTCGGCAGTGGCCTGCAGCGGCGGCGCCCCGCCCGGCCCCGCCGCGGGAGACGTTGTCGGTTCCCGCCCCGGGGAGGGCACGGAGCCGGGGTCCACGCCAGACGTGGCTGGTATCTTATATAAGGCCCGCGCCCGAGTGTGAGGCTCGCACAGGTGGGTGTGCTAAAGTTACCCTCGACTTCCCGGCCGGATGGGCCGTTGGCTCGCCAGACTGACTGGTCACTCGCTCCGCCAATACACACGCACCGTCCATTACCGACCGCCATCAATTTTTCACCGCCAAACTTTGAACTCTTTGTAGGCGTTGATGCCCGGCAATGCAAACAGTTCACTACGACTATCCATTTTTAAGTGCGCTGGAAAAGTCAGTCCCATTTATCCATCACGCACCGAGCACGGTCGGCTCGTATTATATTTCAGTTTATACGCTGCGACCAAGACCACTAATGCTGGTACATCTGCCGAAGTTCGGAGACACAGTGCTTTGCTCCTTGGGTGAGACATTGGTACCTTGTGCGATGGCAATCTCCCGAAGCAAGACTTCATGAGGTCTACAGATATAGACGGTATAGATCAGCGCTGCTCGAGCGAAGACAGGAGGTCCGGGATCGTCAGATAGTGACGCCCAGTGATACAGGTCTGAGGTCACGCCCAATCTCTAACCGCGCACCTCTGACGTCCTCACGGTGCACCGTGGCGGTAAACACACACTACCTCCGGTGACGACGTGCCGCGGCCGACTGCGCCGTGTCTGTCGCGGCAGCGCCGATACTGCCTCGGCAGCCGGCAGGACGGCGACGAAGGCCGGCATAAACAGAGCTGAAGAGCCGCGGCACCGCCCGACGGTCGTCGAGGGGTACCTACCAGTTATTAGATAAAGCGCCCAGTGCCCTGGCCTCCATTAGCACTCTAGGGTTCCGTCAATCGACTTGGACCTCGGTTAGGAAAGTGGCATCATTAAGGTGATGCCATATGCCAATGATGACCGGCTACATTATCGGAAACACATCTGTCCAAAAATTTATCAATAAGTGCAAACGCCGACAGGTATTGAGCGTGCCATTATTTATGCATTTCCCAGTAATTGGAATGCTACAAATAGGACGAGCCACTCAGGGCGCTTGGCGCCAAACAGATCGTTGTTGTAATAAATAGAAAATGTCTCGTCTATAATAACGAGTGTTAATGGAGAAACTGACTATTGCAGAAGTAACTGATATCGAAATTCCACTCACTCACACTGCCAAGTGTCATGTGCCATATCTCTAACGATCGACACAAATTCAACAAATGCCGAGCTTTGTCGACAACAAAGTGACGTTTTATGAAAACATACCAGTCAGATGTGAACATATCAATCGGTAAGGGTGCTCTGTTGCCTACCAATTTGTCCTCTAACAGCGTCGGCTGGAAGGAAATGTCAATATTGGGAGGAATATGAATGTCGATGAAAGGAAACAAGTGACACTTAGGTTCTTCGTAAACTACGAATATCGCCTACGCAGCCATTGTGGGCATGCTTGTATGCTTAATTATGCTATTTTATTAGACGGATTTTAGGTACACCTTTATTTTTGTCATATCGCATAGGAGGCATTCCACGATAGATCGTACCAGGCCCGTCACCCTCATCTCTCAGATTTTAATGAAAATCGGTCCTAGGGGTAATCATAGGCCCCAAAGACGCCTGGCAAAATATCAGACTTCTCAGATCAAAACTTTTTGAGTTATATTGCATTACATTTTTTTAACTTCGGTATGTAACGGTGAGTTTGATGGCCTATAACTCAAGAACGGGTTAAGCAACCAACAAAAAGTAAACAACACTAAGCTTGCGATGAATCAAAAATTAATATTACTATTTAAAAATTCCAAAGAAAAAATTTCATTGTTGAGCAAAAACCTTAATCTTTTTTCATTTGCCTCTAATGACTTTTGGGACCAAAATTTTTCACATTTTTATTTTTTCAAAATAATCTTCATGTCATTGCAAATCGACATGCAAAAAATTAGAAAGGTGTTCTTTCTATAAGTTCCTCATTTTCCCGCAAACAAAATGGGTTTCGGAGGGGTTGATACGACCCCAGCACGCCGTTTCGCTTCTAATAGAGCTAGAGCCTCGCGGAAAAAACGAGCGTGTGTGCCGTTACAAGTCGCAGCGATTGGTACCCGATTTTAAGGTCTCAGGTTAACCGGTAGCGTCTGAGGTCAGGTCACGTGACTGAAGTTACGGGTTCGGTTTTTAGTAAATAACTTCGCAAAAAATGGCCGCAGAGCCGCGATTTTGGCATCATTGTGTTCGCCTAGCTCAGGTGCATCGAATGGTATACTTTTTGCTAGGGTGAGGTCAACTTAAGTAGTTGACCTCGGGTCAAGGTCAGGTCAGAGCCCCTCAGGTCACGAAGCTGGGCAAAGGGTATCAT